ATATCATAAATTTTTAAAAATATCTTTGATGAAGTATACATTTAACAGGGCATCATGAAATTAGACTTTATGCAAAGTGGTGGATGATTATGACAATAGGAATTATTTAAGTTACAATTTCATTCCCAGTCCACTAACGTGAAGAAGGCTCCTTATATGTGTATGGAAAGGCAGAGGCAGTAGGGATTCTTTCTCATGTCTTTTAGGCAGTATGGTTGATGCTGAGGGCAATATGGAGGGTGGCCTTGGGAATGCGGAGAGAGGAGAGAAGCCAATGGGAGAGATCTCTGTGGTAAGAGTTCCAGATGGCCTGTGTCCTGCTCCGACTCAAGCCCGACCTGATGAATTGCCCATTAAACCTCTTGTTGAACATCTGGCTGTACCTACACCTTCACGTGAAGCCTCACTCACTCAGAAGTTGGAGATGGCCCTTGGATCAGTGTGTCCACTGCTGCGAGAAATTATGGTTGACTTTGCACCTTTCCTTTCCAAAACACTGGTCGGCTCACATGGGCAGGAACTCCTTATGGAAGGGAAAGGTAAACTTAGTTTAAGAGTTGTCTTTGCTCAAATTGCTCATGTATCTGATCGAGAAGATTGCTGCGGTTAACCAGAATTTTGTTATATAATTGTCTTATGTTCTGATACTGTGGAAATGCATTTGTATGTGTGGATATGATAGAAGTACTAGTAGGAAGTGAGCAGTTGTAAACTATGAGAGCTTTGCCAGTACCCTTTCTATTCGTTCTTTGTGTGGACGTCATAAAATGAATGCATAATGGGGAAGTCATCTGCCCATGTGTCTATTTACCCACAAGCTCCACTTCCAAATCTACTTGACACACTTTGATGAAATTTGATATGGGGGATCCACTCAGAAAGTTGTCGAGTGCCTATAATTTTGATGTGTACCAGTCAGTTACTTTACATGAAGTTGAAATTGAGCTTTGTTAGTTGTGTGGCAATATGTGATATCTGTAATGTGATTTGTATCTGTGATGGATGAACTGAAGGCCACTTGGACATGAAAAGTAGTCAAGAATGCATGTTTATTTTTATTTAAACTGCATGTCCTGGGATGAGATGCTGTGTATTAGGTACTAACATTTCAGAGGAACAACACTGAAGACAGAGGCAACTAATTGTTCAGAAACATTGGTACACATCTACCAGACTACATGGTATCACACTTAACAGGCTAGCCTACTGGCTGTGCTTTGGACTTGTGTTCAGAAGGCACTGTGTTTGGTTCCTGGCCAGGACACCAGATCCTGACCAAAGTGTTTCATGATTTTACTCAGTCTCTCAAAGCAAATGCCTGGATTGTACCTTTTTTTTTTTTAATTCGCTTAGTGGGGGGTGGAGTCCAACTGTGTCCACTGACTGATTGGCCTATTGTAGCCTGCCCCGGATAATTATGATGATGGAGAATTTGGTAGAATGAAGATTGGCAGGGAAAACCAAAGTTCTTGGAGAAAACCCATCCCAGCATCACTTTGTCCACCACAAATCCCACTTGACCAGACCTGGGATCGAACACGGGCCAGGGCGGTGGGAAGCCAGTGACTAACTGCTTGAGCTATGGCACGGCCTGGATTGTACCATGATTAGACAATAACCATTACCTTCCAATTCTTTCCACTTCATCGATCATCCTGTCATCCAGTGCTACATACTTTTGATACTGACCGTGTTGTTAAATGACCAACTAAAAAAGCACAGCATTACTTTCCAGAAGACTGTAATCTTAATATTCCACATCATGAGGACTTCACACTGTTACCTTTATTTGTTATATGGTTTCCAGACAGCTTTAATGCCTGTACTGCTGGAAAGTGTAGTCCTTCGTGGCAGTTTTAGTTTGAAAGTGTTGACAGTTTTTATGCAAGAGGCTTATGTAGGAAGCATCAGAACATTGAGATCTCTCTTGAAATATTTGTATAAAGGTCAGATAGAAAGTAGTGGCAACACCTCTATAGTTCTGAAATGACTTTATTACCTGAGGTAAACACACTTACATTCCTTCAATATAATCTCACGCCCCCATGTGTACCACCTTCTGCCAAATTTGTGGAAGACATCGTACATCATCAGCGCGTCCACTTCTGTTGATGTCCAGCAGTGACAGCCCTACAGCACGAATAATCTCTTCTCTTGTGTTGTAACGTGTCCCTTGCAGTGGTTCTTTCATTTCGGCAAAGAGATCATTATCGCAGACACTCGTATCAGGTGAATATGGCAGATATTGCAGTATCTCCCATCGCCAGCGGCGAAGGAGATACTTGACAGCATCAGCAGTATGAGCCCGTGCATTGTCATAAAAGATGATGGGGTTCGTTGCCAACAAGTGTTATCGCTTTCTCCTGAGTGGTGGATGAAGATGATTACACAGGAAATTGCAGTAGTAGGCAGCGTTTACTGTCTGTCGTTGAGGACAGTGTGGTGCGGTATCACTCCAACAGTCTCATATGCCACAATGAACATTGCCTTCACATTACTCTGTGTAGGGCGCACTTTCTTTGGACGAGGAGAGCCAGGATGCTTCCAATCATTTGATTGTCGCTTCAAGTGTGGTTCGTATGACCGAGCCCAAGTTTCGTCCAGAGTGACAGTCGTTCCAAGGAAGACGTCACCTCCCCTCTGGTACCAGTCCAACAAGCCCTGTGCAGTTGCATAATGTTGCCATTTTTGCACCCAATGTGCTGCAATTTTGCGGTATCCAAGAATATCGTACAGAATGTGGAGCACAGTTTTGTGATATACGCCTACCTCAGCAGCTAACTCCCGCACAGCCCATAGATGATCGACATCCAGCAAAGAAGCAAGAAGCTGAATTGTGTGGTTGTCAACATGGGGTTGTCCTGAATGGCATCCCTCCCTTCACGGAACAATTTCACTCATCGTGCCACTGTGCGATATGGCAGAGCAGCATCACCACATGCTTTTCACAGTCCCTGATAACAGTTTTGTGCACTATGACCTCGTGAAACTTCAGTTTTTATCCAGGAGCATTGTTCTTGTTTTGTAAACATGTTGTTAGGGTGCTTGAACTGGGCTCCTGCACTTCAAGATGATTCACAATGCAACTCAATGAAACACAACCAGATCCACTCACTGCACCACTTCAACTGAACTTCTGCTATCAGCTACAGATGGCGCTAGTGCCACCTGACGTACATCTTTCATGTTACAGCAGTGTTGTTACTACTTTTTATCCAACCCTTATTTATAGTAATTCTATATATATTCTTGTACAAGATATACACAGATTGTTATTCAGTCAATAATCTTTTCTTTCAGGTGTAAATTCTCTCTGCTGTGACACATGTAAACTATTATGCTCCCTTTTAAGGCCATGTACTTAAACTTTCTTGTCCCATGCATAATATATTTTTTGTGAGGTGAAATTTGTGTTGTAGGGTTAACAACGTTCAAGAACAGCAACTCCGTTGTGGAATTGGTGATGCTACTTTGCTCACAAGAATGGCAGAATTCTTTGCAGAAACATGCTGGTCTTGCCTTCATTGAGCTTATTAATGAGGGAAGGTATGTGCTGCCTAATCTTTTAAGTATCACTAGTGCCTGGACAATTGCAGGTCCTGTTGCCTGTCTTCGTTTGTTGTGTGCCCACTGCCCACAAATATTCTAGCAACATATCTTGACTTCTCATGTTTTTTTTTTTGTGACCATTATCAGTTTCATAAAACACATTCCAGAAGATACTGATCTTTGCTTTATTTGATCTCTGTATGGCCCATCATTAGTAACAACATTAGTCCAGCAAGTGTCTCATAAATTCAACACTTGAGTGTCTTCAAACTAATGTTAGTTTCAAGTTTGTGATAAGCAGGAACTGACTGATTTTATATTCAGATTTCTCTCCTCCCTCCCCTGTCATTCATTTTATTTTGCCTGTGATTAGGTACTTCAGCTGTCTTTGCATGTTTTGAATATTTTGACATATTTATATACGAGTACTATGTTTCATGTGAAGAATATTTAGGATCAGAAAGAACCAAAGAAAATACAATTGTGAAATTGTTCAGTGGTCAGTGACAATGCTTTATATGAAGTTATCACTTAAATAAATATGTTATCTTGCCGGAGGAAGTGTTTTGTTTGTTTTGGAGATTTTTGCTGTTTTATACACTTGGAATTCCTACTTGATTTTTCCCGATTTAAGTTTTTATTCTTTGGATGCTCCATTTCTGTGGTCATGTTCCTGATATTTTGGTGTTAAACTTTCTCCATTTAAAAATTTCTTCAGTTTAATTTTCAAATGTAACTTCTATGCATTGGAACTATATATATGTAGACTTTTCTCTCGAAAGTTTTGTCATTGCTGTACGTATGCTACTTGTATGTTATTACTTCTTTACAGGCTTCTGTCTCATGCTATGAAAGACCACATTGTGAGGGTAGCCAATGAGGCTGAATTCATTCTCAATAGGATGAGAGCTGATGATGTTCTGAAGCATGCTGATTTTGAGGTAAGAAATCACACTGCAGATTATATGTATACATAGGTAAGATGGTTAGGTATCTCCATTTCATAGCCACTATACCATGAAGGTGTTGTTAATCTTAGCACTAGATGGTGCTGAATGGTTAGCTTCTTCCTCTGGCCACTTTATCACTGGCAGAACAGTTGTCCAGTTCCAATCAAAAGGCAGCTGTCATATGGTCAGGAAAAGAAATACACGTATTTCTGTCCCTGCTAGAAATCGAACCCCATTCATCCATCCTGTGACCAGTTGTTTTACTGATTGAGCTATTGCTACCCTAAACTAAAGTGATGCAAGTTCACGAACTCTGCCTTCAGTATATGCCATTGTGATGTGATCTGTCTCGGAGTTACATCTTTATGTGCATATATTCAGTTAATTTGAGCTAAAAAGAACATTATTATAGGCAAACTTTGTATGCTTTTTTTTTTATTCCTGAGCAATGGTCAGTGAACAGCCTAAAAGGAAATGAAAGAGCTACTGTGAGGCTGTTATGAATCTCCCAAGTGGGGAAGTATGTGTAGATGACAAAATCATTTATTCATTATTAGTATATTTTTTATGCTAGGGCTAGAACATCTTCTGACTTCACGTCTTCATATTGTTGGCCTTTCTAATCTCTCCTTTCGGATTATATATAATTTTACCTCTTGATGTCCTTTCATTGTTTATGGTTTAAAAATTTTCAGGCTGTTACTTTTCAGTTTTTTAATGAATTCAAATTTTCTTCTCTGCTCTGATATCCCCATTTCTCACTTCATCCATCCCTCCTACAGGTAATTTTTCTCATTTTTTAAATCAGCTGGAATTACTATTAAATAAAGTGTATAATTCATCAAATAGATAATTTTATGTGGTGACTTCAATGTAAATTATTTAAATGATAATACTAGGAAAGATTGTTTAAACTCACTTTTAGCTTCCTTTAATCTTTGTAGTATAATTAATTTCCCTACAAGAATTTCTTATAATTTTTTTACTTTAATAGATAATATCTATATTAATAGCTACTTACATGGATTCTCTGTGCATCCTCTTATTAACGGTGTCAGACCATGATGCTCAGGTCATTGTTTTGAATAATATTACTGTTCTAGACCATAAACAGATATTTTATTACAAAAGAGTTATTAATAATTATACTATAGGTCAATTTTTATTTTTGTTAAGTTATGAAAATTGGGAAGAGTTTTTTTCTTAAATGAATGTGAATATAGCCTTCAATCAATTTTTTAACATATTTCTTAGGATCATTTATTCATGTTTTACCTTGAAAAAATTTCAATATCCACATGCACAAAAATCGTGGCCAACTTCTGGTATTAAAATTTCATGTGCAAATAAAAGAATACTGTATCTGGTTTCCAGAAATAGCAACAATCCTAATGTCAAAGAATATTTTAAGAAATATTGCAGAATCTTGACCAGCGTTATTATGGCAACCAAAAAATTACATTATAACACACTTATAGTAAAATCTAACAACAAGACTAAAACTACATGGAATATTGTGAAAACTATTACTAATAATAGGAGGACCTACTGATAATATAACCAAAATGNTGATGAAAATAAATGATAAATTATCTTGTAATACGATAGGTATTATAGATGCATTTAAAAATTACTCTTCATCCATAGCCAAAAAATTATTTAATAATAATTCCTCTGGGTATCCCTCTGTTAATAACAAAGATGAATTTTAGCAATACAAATGCTTATGAAATTCAAAAAAGAATATTGTCAGTGAAACCCAAAAATTCTCAGGGCTATGATGAAATATCATTAAGAATCATGAAATATAGTGCTCCGTATATCTTGTCTCCTTTAACAAGATCCTATTAACAGGTATTTTCCTGGAGAGACTGAAGTTGTCTGAAGTTAAACCGCTCTACAGGAAAGGTGATAAAGCTGAAAAGGTGTGCCTTTATTTTGTGCATGTATATTTATGCCTATAATTGTTTGATTTCAGTCTCAGTGTGCACAGACTTTGCTGGACAGACGGGAAGAGGAACGAATGTGTGACCATCTTATTACAGCTGCACGTCGAAGAGACAATGTGATTGCTAGCCGACTGCTGGAGAAAGTTCGTAACATCATGTCCAATAAGCATGGTGCTTGGGGCTATATGGATCCACATGCAGCCAAGTAGGTCAAATAGCTGTTTAGATTATTGTATTCTGTACCCATATTACATTGAATAATGCATTCATATGTGTCTGTATATTGTCACGTGTTGGGTGTATAACGCAACAAATAATTTCACGCCGTATTGGATATAGCGAATTTGTTGCACATTCGCTCTTACAATCACACAATTTACAATCTTACAATTACTGCCATCGGCAGTATCACAAATACTATACTGCAATTAACTGGTTACTCTTTCTCTAGTAACTGGCTCAATACTCACTACTCACTAACTAATCACTACTCACTAACTAATCACTCACTACTCACTAACTGCTAACTCTGAATAGTGTTCGCTGCTCCTTATTTAGCCTCGGCATGGACAAGACAGAAGACTGCTTTCTTCATAGTCACCGCCGTGAAAGCCTCAAATCTTACAAGACAGAAAACGGTTACATGATAGGTACTGCTGTTGCCTGACGCCATGTTTGCCGATAGCCTAGCAACACTGTCGGGAGTTGTTTACTGCTGCATAGCAACCGCGGCATCCCTTGGTCACGTCACCATGGGAAGGGGCTGGTCTATTGACTGGTCTATTACCGTAGCAACGGCAACGCTCTGAAGGTGTTATGTCACCACTGGCGGGGGAGGGGGTGTCCTGCATAGCGCAAATGCATCACAATATATTGTATGTCTCATTGTATATTTTAAAAGCATCATGACAAAGGTTTATGCTACCATTACTTTCAAACAGGAGGTATCTGTAGAAAATCTAGTGCCATATGAAATTTGGCCCTCTGTTATTTATCATTCTGTCTGCTGGGCTATGAGACTGTGTAGTCTCATGAAAGCCTGTTGCTGTTTCGGAGAAACATACTACCTCTATCTTCTGGGTTGAAGAGAAAGGGAAGCAGGCAGCAAGAAGAGCTGTGTGTGCTGCCTGCATCAAGCTAATTTCTTGCTTGTCTGACTTGACCCTGATGATGGAGGCTGTATGTTCCTTCAGGATGTTGGTTCATTTTCATTGGACTACATGGCATTATAGCCCAGAAGATAGAACTCTTCAAATTAATTTACTCTTTATTAAACTGAATTTTATGATGAAATGTTTTACACGATGTTCATATGGGGAGACAGATAGGAGCAGAAAAAAATTGTTATTCTAGAGCTTTTTTGGAAATTTATCCATTGGAAGTAGGGAGAATTGAATCTATAAATCTTCCAAAGATGATGACCCAAGACCAATCAAAATTTCACATGCCAAGATTACTACCTTCTGGATGCTAAAAAATAGTAACCTTCCTGATCACTTTCATGAGAACCTCAGATTGTACAAAGTTGCCCTTATCTTGGGAAAATATTGTCACATGTTAGTGAATAGACATGGGGTTTGGATTGGTAATAGGATTTATTGAACACTTATAAATTGTAACTACAAGTAATTATAATGCTGTCACTAATTCATTCACTCTTCTTCTCAGTACAACACTAAGTCATCTCATTTTGTCTTCATTTGCTGTTGCTTGGTAATGGATCCCGGTAGTGTTCTCTGCTTATCCGTTACCAGCTGGCAGCTGTCCAGTTGGGTCCCGTTGTATAGCTTGTGGTCAGACCACGTAGCAAATAGTACCAACTGCTTAGAAAACACTGAGTCAGTCTCAGTCTTCTGACTGTGACATCCTTATGTGTTGAGTTCCAAAAATGACTGAACCAAAACAGTCTTTAGTATCCGTCACACTGCTGACTGACTCCACATGGCCATATTTTTGTTACATATTTGCACTGTACAGACATGAAGACTTACACATTTAATGTGTAATTTGGTGGCTGTTTAAAAAGCTCATGAGATTTTTGACTCTACATTGTAACATTAACTATTCATATCATGACATTTACCATGTCCTGGAAAACTAAATACTTGATTTTCAGTAACCACATAAGATCTTGATGTCAGCTTGTCTTGTCCACTGCTGTTTTACTGTACGCAAGTCTACTGTCTTCTTACACACTCTTAATTTGTGTGTCATACTGCCAGCACTGAACTAGCTTCTTGTCACACAGTTCACCCTGTTTCTTCACAGATAAATGTTGTATGCCGCTTGAAAGTTTACAATCAGACTCAACTCGGTTACCCTCCTTGCCTTCTGATCAACATTTTTTAAAAGTTGATATTTCTATAAAAGTCCAGAGCACACATGGGGAATGAAGCCCATGACTTCTTCTGAGGAATGCAAGAGAAAGGGGAGGTCTGAAACCTTCAATGAACAATAGGCACATGCATGGTCACACATTATCCCCCACCCCCAACACGTGCGAATGTGTGCGTGCACACACATTTTGTGCACCAATATGCCTAGCTCTCGTGGAATTTAACTTGTGCTTTGAATAACATTATTTCAGTTTTGAATTTTCAGCACTGAAAACATAAAAAGTCATACATACTGAAATGGGGACTGACAGTGTCTCAAATCTTAAAGCACAGTGAATTATCCAACATCAGATTAGCTTCGTTTGACCGATATTTTTTCTTGCTCCTATAATTTAGTGCAGGAACCAGTAATTATTTGTATCTTGAATTAACATCTAGACCAAGCAGGAATTCATAGATAATTTGTTTGGAAAATATTTGTATACCTTTCCATTCCAGTTAGTTCATACTGCAGCTTACTTGTGAGTCATTGAAAATTTTGCATTTTTTTACAGAATACCTTGAGATGTAATGTGCTTTCTCTTTTACAGACTGAATGAGTTTTGGAAACTGGATGCATGGGAAGATGATGCTAGGCGGAGGAAACGTTTTGTACACAATCCTCTTGGATCAAGTCATCCAGAAGCAACATTAAAGGCAGCTCTTGAACATGGTGCCCCTGAGGATGCTATTCTTCAGGCTCGTGAAGAATTTCATGCACATCTTGCGGCTTCACGAGGACAGCAGCAACAGATGCAGTCCACTGACTTAATGGATGACAGTGAACTTCTAGCAGATGATCGTGATCTTGACGTTGATCTCACAGGTGAGCCAAAGTGAACTTAAATTTATATCTGGTGCATTTTGCAACAGCACCTACTAGTTTATGCATATCTGTCTTTCTGTTCATTTATTTACTCCATTAAGGATGAAGAAGCATTGTAATTATAAGGAAATGTTTGTAATGAGTTTATTTGTTTGGTACAGGTCCTGTAAATATCAGTACAAAGGCCCGCCTTGTGGCACCAGGAGTGGTTGCACCAGGAACTGTCTCCATTACTTCAACTGAACTGTACTTTGAGGTTGATGAAGAAGATACAGAATACCGCCGGATTGACCCAGAGGTAGGACCATATCTGTTCTGTTTTTTATTCTTTGTTGTCCATGTGGTGGGAAGCTATGTGCATTCTTGACAATATACAAGAGGAGACATAGTAAATGCCAGGGGTTCATTAACATTATAATGAAATTTAATGCATTGGAAAGCCAGATGCCCAAAGTACAAATTTTCCAAGAGCTCAGTGAGTGTATATTGACAATTTGAAACCTAGTAAATATAAGAAAGTTCCACGTGCACATTAATTTTGTGTAATGAACGTGCATAATAGGAACTTATGAGGCAGCCATTTCTCTGAAATTTATTATTTTTTCTGAACATGTCTGACTATATTTTCCTGTCATTATGTGCCATCAGAACAAAACAAAGCATGAAGCAGCATTGTGTCTGGATCCCAGATAGACCTGCAGTCAAAGCATAGTTGTGTAGATTAAATGAAAGAAAGAAAATACTCATGTAAATATATATAAGTAAAAATGGCATAACTTATAAAATAATGTTGTTATCCTGTCCTGACTATATGGATCTTACTTTTTTAACTTTTGATCCTTTACTCAACAAAGAACTTCAAAATGCATATAGCTTCCATTTTTGGCTTTCTGCATTTTTTTGCACAAAAACGCTGGTGCTTCATATAAAATAATTGCTAATGTTATTGCTTTTATAACATGGAATATTTACACTCACTGCCTCTGCATTTGTAGTTGCTGTTTTGTTTGTCAGTTGGTAAGTATAACTACTGTACTTCTCATGAGTGAACAGATAACACCAACTGTTTATAACGTTTATGCTGATAGGCTGCAATCTGTGGAATATTCTCTATATCATATAGGCTACTTGGTGTTTGCAGAATTTGTACATTGTGTGGAAAAAAATAAGTTATGTATAGAGAAGCATTTCCTTACTAAGTCAGCAGTACATTCCTTCTTGTGTCATAGGTATAATTTTTATATGAATACACAGTTTTCAAGACCTTGCTCATTAAGTGCCTAAAAGTTAACTAACTAACTCACCCTTTGGAGCAGAGATGAGGAACAGCTAATAGTACTTCAGCTTGTCACTTGTCACATTCTCCATCTTTTATAGAAGAGTCTGAATTGGACCCTGTCCTGAGCTATATGAATCCAATCCACATCCTTATGCCCAGTTTCTTTAAAATCTATGCATAGATCAATAATTGTTACCTTCAGTTTGTAACAAAATGTTAGGGAATCCATTCAAAATGTGTCAGAGAGTTCAAATATATGGGAATGACCATAAGGAGATCAAAATTAAGTTCCTGTAGCAGCTAAGAGGGGGTCAAATTTTTTATATGTTTATTATCTTTCAGTTCAGAATCTTTTGTCTTCCTGTTTCTGCCTAGAAACACAACTTATTCAAATATATATAAAAATATATGATTTTCTGTCTTGTTTCTTACTGATGTGAGATTTGTCTCTCTCCTGAATGGAATAATATAGACTAGGAATGTTCTAGAATAGGATTCTGAGAGGAATATTTGGACCTGAGAGAGATGGGATGGAATTTCATAATTTTTTCTCTTCACCAAATATTATTAGGGTGATAATGTAAGAGACAAAATAGAAGGACCATTTGTAAGATGTAGGCAGAGATGAGATGATAATATCAAGACTATCTTCAGTAAATAGAGCAAGAAAGTGCAGACTGGATTTTTCCAGCTCAGGATATGGTTCATTGTGGGCTCATATGAATAAGGTAATGAATCTTTGGATTCCATAAAGGACACAGGAACTTTTTAGCTATTCTAGCACTGTTAGTTTCCTGAGGACTGTGCTGTGTAAAGTTTCATAGCTAGGTGGTGCAGTAATAGATTCCTACTGCTTGACAGTTATTCCATATTTTAGACAGAATGTGTTGGATGCCGGTTCTGGTATTTGGAGAGAGCGCCATGTAAGTTCCTGATGAATGCTGGCAAAGCTCCACCCACATTGGGCAGGCTTTCATGAACAATGGTGGTTCTCCATGTTCGTGTAGCCAGGATTATGAGCTGGCCGGCTGTAGAGCGGCAAGTGCTGGTGGAGGCTTCCCAAGGGTCGAGGCGACTGCTTTCAGAGTTGGTTGGCGGCGTTGCTGCTAGTAGTGTTGCAATTGCTGTGTGCGCTCCAGATGCTGTCGCGAAGTAAGAGTAACTGACTGGCTAACTAGCACGATGTGGTCGCTATCTTTATCCGCTGTTGTTAGTGATGCTTGGCCCAATGAATGTTGGTGCTGCTGAGGGAGGGTCATGGTCCTGGAGATGCATTGTCGTAGGCTCCCACATCACGCCCCTCCCGCAGAGATGGTTGCTCAGATGTAGAAATGAGTAGGGAAACGAACGTGGTGACCGGAGCATGTAGTTCGTGTGGCGGGCGGTGACATGGCAGGTGGCGCCATGTGGTTAGGGTTGCTTTGACTACCAGGTTGAAGGTGGTGTTCTCGCCATCAGTCCCATTGAATATGTAGGCTGGCTTGATCCTATCAGCTTACATGGTGACAGGCCTGTCGCATATGAATTGCAGTGTTTTCTATCTTTGTGAGAGGACCTGGTAAGGGCTGCTGTAGTAGTGCTCCAAAGCCTGGTGTGTTGTGTCCTGAAGGAGAAACACGTGTGTACACTTCTCGAGGTCGCTGTATACAGGCATGGCATGCTGCTGGAACTTGTCTGAGGCTGGCCATATCCTGGCAGAGCTGAGTTATGAGGTGCTCGCTGTATATGAGCTCAGCTACTGCAGCCTGACGGTCTGCTTTGAACGCCGTACAGATTCCAAGGAGAATCAGGGGAAGCGCACCTGCCCACTGTTGGTCCGCGTGACACATGATGGCTGCCTTCAGTGTCTGGTGGAAGTGTTCTGGGTGGTGGGCAGTTGTCCAAGAGAGCTGAATGCCACACTCCAAGGCCAGCGAGTGGAAGAGTAGAGATTGAAACTGACATCCTAGGTTGGTGGTGATGGTCTGCGGACAACTGAAGTGGGAAATCTAGCCGGTTAGTAGGGCACGTGCCACTAATTTTTTCTTATGTCAGTTGTCATGTGTGAACTCAATCAGATGTTAAACATTTTTTTTTGAACCAGGAGAGTGGTGTCATGGTATGACTTCAAAACACAGGAGATCCCAGTTGTAAGAAACTGGGGTAGAAAATGAAATGTTGCAATGGTATGAATATTGTCACATGTGTCTGTGACTACAGATGGGGTATGGATTGGTGACTAGATTTGTTGTCCCCTTTAACACGCGACTCATGACTACAAGCAATTACCGCGCTACCACTAATCTCCACAATTCACAAATCATCATAGCACCTCTTAAGTCTTCTCCAGCCTACAGGGTCTTCACCAGTTATTCCCCAGCAACAACTTCTATCAGTGGAGATTCTTCAGCTTCACACTGTCATGCCCTCGTGTCACGGCCGCCTATACAGACCCACAGCGTGAACATAAGATCATATAAAGAACCCCACGAAGAACAAGAACACATATTGATGAATAACCACCTAAAAACATGGCATCACAGAACAAAATGGACATGATAACATAAAACAAAAGAATATGTATACTCTTTAACACATAACTTTAATTCCAATTAGAGTATTTTAATATTTTTAAAAGTCTTAAATTTGATATTTAATACACATAAGAGCATTATGCAAACAACTTACTTGTACAATGCACTCCCAATGTGTAAACACTGGCCATTGTAAGGTGGAATAGCAGGTAGAAGGAAAGGTGATTGTTGTAAAGGCTCTATGTACCTGATGGTGGGAGGAATAGGTCGAAACATATAGTGCATGCAAATGCATAGTGTTTATACCAGAATTGTGACAACTGAATAATAATGAACCGAATAAAGAGTAGATTATGAGAACTCTGTATCAGGTTATTTGTTAGCCTGTATGAGAATCAAACTGTGTACTTTCTGAACAAATAAGGTACAAGTAAAAAAATATTTTCATGTGTACTCTGCGCCTACCTTAGAATTTTCACTTTTCCACACCGAATTGAATGTTTTAAACATGACTTAACAAACAGGAGGTGTGCTGGGTTTAAGTGTCTCACAGCAGCAATTATGCGGTGTAGAGTCATGTAGTTCAGTTATACTTCACATACGTTTCAGAGAAACTTACTGCTTTTGTCCCTATGGTCGAAGATATGCTAAAGCAAGCAATGAGTAAGAAACGATGTGTTCCTCCGAAACGTCACTGAACTTCTACTGAACCTCACAGTGTCACGTTCCAGAATATAATATTCTTCACAAATAAATGGTACTTAAGAAAAATTTCGTATGTACCCATGTAACTCATTTCGAGCTCCTGCTCGGTATGCAAGCAGTCTGGCATGGCACGGGGCGCATTTAGCTCGCGTGACACGTGATAATTATACTGTATGCAGGCAGAGTCCAGTTGGGTTTACTAACGCTGGTGGACAGACAGCTGTCAACCCACCCTCTACTTAGTATTATGAAATACTGTGTGCACGTCTAAGCAACGAAAAAACACAATTTTTATTCTTAACAGTGGACTACAACTTGTTTAATTCCCCACATAGGCGATTAGTCACTATTAGTAGGCATACCATTATTGAAGAACCATATGATTTTGTTTGGCATGCCATGATATGTCGAACGGCGCTCGTCAGTAATAACGCCTTGCGGGAATGCCCCATATGTTCGGCCCTTTGCATAGTCCTTATCCGAATTTCGATTAAATTTTGTATTGGAAATCTACCCTGAAAACTCTCGGATTAATTCGATTTCTTTCAGTGTCAGTCAGAATATAGACACTTCTTCACGTGAATCGCAGGCCAGCGTTTGACTTGTCTATTTCATCTAAATTAAAGTCTCACCGTAAAAAGAGAAATATAACAAAAGAACACTCCGTGGTTTTAGTCCCTAAGCGAACTATACCGCCCGAGCGACCGCCGCTTGTCGGCGAAGTTAGTGAAAACTTTATCAGACAGAGGGTGTCGCGTGGTCAGCGCAACGAATCCCGACGGCCGTTAATTTCGGTTTTCTAGACCGGAGCCGCTATTTCCTTGAAATAGCTTCTAGTTAACCTCACGAGGCTGAGTGAACCCCGTTCCAGACCCCCTGCCTCTCAGAAAATCTGGTAGCGCCGGGAATCGAACCAGGATCTCTGGATCTGTAGGCAGGAACTCTGTCCACTAGACCACAGAGGAGGTCAAAAAAGAGAAACATGGAGACTAAAACATGTAGATTCCATTAAGGCCTGAAATTTTATTTGAAATATTTTTATATTTGTTGAATATGTAACGAAACATAAGCAAATACTGTTTATTACCAGACGGGTTAATTTAGCGGTAACGGTTTGGATTCGTGATCGGGACGAATGCGAGCTGTCATGCCGGAGGGTTTACGAGGTTTTCCTCATCCCCAAGCAAATTATGGTATTGTACTGTTAAACTACGACCACTTCCTTCCAAATTCTTTTCAATTCATCGTTTATCTATCATTTTAGCATCCCACATTACTTAGCCTTGATACCGACAGCATCGCTAAGTAACCCACAAGAAGATACAGCTAAATTCGACGCAGTGTGGTATGTGAGTTGCGGTTAGGTTTGCGGTGCCAGATTTTCACCCTCACTGAATTAACTCAAAACTGAAATGTACATTTACACTCTTTGCTTTGGTTTAAATACCTTCACTTTTGAATTGCGCCGTTTGGTCATTTGCACACCACATTGGCCTTCATGTCTGTTTAGCTTATGCAGGTACAAATACATATTGCTGCAGAGTCAGTCGCAATGCATATATCACGCTGCATGTAGTGAGGTGCTGTTTGATGATGTAAGTCGTTACATGTATCGAAAAATGTGTGAAGTAAAGGTTGTAGGTTTTACTTTTGTGTTATATATAAGCTCTCTGCCGCGATAAAATCTGTGAAAAGTTATATTTGTACTAGATGTAAAATGGTGGCTCTCTGCCTTCTGGGATGTGAAGCGTTACATTTCTTCCCTGAAACTGGAGTCAGCACGTTCCTTCGAAACATCGGTAGACATCTACCAGGCTACACTGCTTCACGTTCAAGGAGATACTAATTTTCATTCCCAGATTCGAAAAAATTATAATCGCTATACGACTGGTGTTCACCGCCATCTAGAAAATGTGGCAGCCTCGACGTCTCACGACTCTGTGGGCTTCCACGGCCTGTTACAGGGATAGCTTTACCTTTACCTTTATACGGCAGGTGTCCTCAGTGATGTTGAAAATGTGAGAGATGAATATGTGGACGTACAGACGAAATAGACTGTCTCCCTGTCGTGAGTTCATTCTTAGCATTTCATGCAAAGAGCGTAAATAGCAAAGATATTTCACTTTTGTGGCAGGCCGTGTTTTGTTTAAGCTCTGTTGTTCGATTCCCTTAGGTGCACATCATGGTATTATATAACGGGAAATTACGTGATTTATGCAGGTCTTCCGGTAGGCCTGTTGCTAGGATTACAAAATGATGGAGACAAGGATTGGCTGGATATGCAGCAAGGATGTTAAAGAAAAATACATTCTGAATTTTGAAATATTCCTGGTATGAAGATCGAAGAGATAACAAGATACATTCGAGGGGATATTTTGCGAGGATGTGAGGTTTATGGAACTGGCCTAATAAGGTATGCAGTGTCAGGCGTTAGTGCTGAACCTTCTACTTGTACTGTCGGAGAATTTGGATACTTGTTTCACTGTAATAATTTACGTATTTCCTAATCTAGTCTCTGGATCTTAAAACCACATCTGCAGTCTGCACGGGATATTAATTCATTATTACAACGAAGGAATTAGGATGCGTTAGAGTATTTAATTAATTTTATAGCCTAATGTATTTTGGAATGCAGATACATTATCTCGTGGCCTGCGGACCTTGGGTGGCGGCCTGAGGGTGGACAAGATGTAAATCACTGACTTCACTTTAAGTTAGCTTGGTGGCCAGTAACTGGGTGAATGATAACCAGTAATTACTGCTCTGGAGAAGCTCTCCTGCCCACACGAAGCATTACGTTTCATTTCCAATAAGAAATCAGTTGCCTGTCTGCCTTATCATGATGACCTGTACTGAATTGTGTTAGTGGAAATATTAGTTTTGGGACTTTTGGTATCTTGCTGTCCAGCCAATGAACTAATTGCAAATCTCAACCAGATATGCATAGAACTTCAGTGTAGACCTAAGTTATATTCAAATTAATAACTTGAAGAAGGAGGCAGCAAGTTCTTCCGAAACTTTTTTAACTATCAAGCGGATACACAATTCCGTATTACAGAAGGGTAATCTTAATAGTTATCGCCCTGAAACCTTAAATCTCACAGGTAGATCTAAGTCACCGAAAAGCGTTTATATTAATATTATATTAGACGGGATGTGTGATCGTCTTAACGAAGGGTGGAATGATAAGTGAAACGGAGGGAATATTCCCGACTCTGTGAAATGCAAAAGAAGCTAAAGAGAAAGAAGAAAGATGAATAGGGCGAAAAGGATAAGAAAATGAACAAGGGAAGAAAGCAGTTGTTTCGTAAACCGTAAACATTCAGTGCTG